TAAATCCATTGAATAATTAACACTTAGCTCAGGGGTGGACACATTTTTATGGAATTCAGGAGCCAGTATGTCCATCCAGGAGCCTGCAGGATTTTTTTTTAGGATTCAGTTCCATTGACACCAACTAGAGAAAAACTAAAAAGTTAGACAACCAGCTGTCATTTTTAAGGAGCATTGGCTACCTGGCTGCTGGGATTTAGTTTGGCTTGACTTATCAAGCCGAACGAAAAGTCAACCAAGATTTGCAAATTTACATTCCCGACATTCAGCAACATATGTTCTTCAATAGGGAAACTCATGTGCATTGTATTCTCTACCTAAAGTGCAATGACTGCCATCGGAGATTGCTGAACATGTATTTTCAATAAAGGTTCAACATTTCCATGTGGGGGTGGGGTGAATGAGAATATGTCAGACATTTATTGTTTTGTATCTGTCCCAGTGACACCCACACCCTCTCATTTCATGTCCTGGTGATACCAGGCCAGGAAGCAAGGAAACAGACAGAGAGAAACACTGGGTGCTGCCATCTTGGTTGTTGTACAGCATAGCTAAGGTGAAGCCGGGCTTTCAATCACGACCTGCACGTAAAAGACACCTCTACCCTTATCGTGGCAGACATGTAAAACTGCTTTCTGAAGTGGCCAGGAGGAGTGCTAGAAATGGAGATGAGGGTTGTTTAATTTTGATAAGTTGAAATGGCTGTACATCAGCAATAGTACAGCTTAATCTGTGTAGTCTGTGTGTTGTGGGAAAAGGAGTGCATTTAAAAACAGATGGAGTAGATTATCATCATCATCATCATCATCCAGCATTAATATAGTGCCAACGGTTTCCACAGTGCTTTACAAAATAATGGGAGACACTACAGGTACAATACAAAAAGGTGCAAGGGATATACAAAAAGGTTATTTATTGTGAAGGGTGGAGGTAGTAAAAGCACAGTTATTAGGTGGAGGAATAGGCTTCCCTGAGGAGATGAGTCTTTAAGGATAACCTAAAGGCAAACAATGTAGGACAGACAGGAGTATGAAGTTTCATAGGAAGGGAACATCTTTGGAGAAGAAGTACTGGAAGCAAGCATGGAGGGAGGTTTTGAGGAGGCTTTGCGAGGAGTGGAGAGGACAGTTTTGGTGATGTTTTGCTATGAGGTCGGGCGTGTAGCGGGGGGGGGAAGCTGTGGATGGCTTTGAATGTTATGGTTAGTATTTTTAATTTTTTATGTTGGTCATGTGGGAACCAGTGGAGGTATTGGCAGAGAGTGGCTGCAGCCATTGAGCGGTTGGTAAGGTGAATAATAATAATAATGTCCGTGTAAAGGCAAGTCAAAGAAGAGGGAGTTGCTTTAGTCGAGGCGACAATAACAAGGAAGTGAGACAGAAGCTTTATGGTACCAATTGTCAAGAATGGGTGATTATCAATGTATCAATATGTTAACAAAGGAAAGGTTCACATTATAATGAACCTTTAAACATTACCATGCTTTCAGCATCTGTAGACCAACTGCATAAGAATAGTAAACTTGTACCTAGCGTGTCTTCAAGCAATAACCACACACACACACACACACACACACACACACACACACACACACACACAACAGGTATTTAGGAATAGCTATAAGGATCAATTTTCATTCACAAGCAATCCTTAAAATGGATTAAACACACATTGCCTTTTGATCGACTGGTTCTCACTCTAGTTTATAAGCTCTGCAACACAAATCTATAAGAAAGCTACACAAATCTTTATCCCAAATGTGTAATTTCAGCCTGCCAGCTCTGGTGAGTATGGTCATGCTCCTGTCTTTTGAGCAAAAACAAAGGAAGTTCTGTAACTCACAGCTTCTAAGATGAAAATGTTCCTCGCTTTCCTTCATGCAAAACCACTTGCTGAACTTAATGCCAAATTAGGTTATTTTTGAACTCCATTCAGATAAGATCATTTACAGCTAATTAAGTTCTTGAAAACGTAAATAAATAGAATAAATCATTTCAGCTTACTGTAGTAGATGGCATTACGAACACTGGCCCTTATTAGTAAATAGTGGGTTAGAGTTTAATAATTGCACAAATGCATTAATTGCACTATACGTTGGACACAAAGATCAATCTCTAAAGAAACATTTTACTGTGACTTCTTCACAGTGACTAGGCTTCACATTAAAGAGACCCTGTCACTGGACCAAATAATTTGAACATCATCTCATAAGATTATATGTGCATTTAAAAAAAGGAGGGCCAACCATTTTTTTGCCATAGTTTTCCCACTGCCGATCCAGAGCACCACTGTGCCCGGGATCGGTGCTCAGGATCGGCAGTGGGAAAACTGCTCAAATTTGAAACAGCCAGTGATGACTGTTTAAATGCAAGCGTTCTGGCGTCTTCTATGGTGAGATGGAAAAACTGTACATCTCTGAAACGACTGATCATTTTGACCTGTGCCTGCCTATGTATTTTCTTCATTAAAATGCTTATGTTTTTGACACGGTTAACTTAATTGTGAGTAACAAACTGAAATCATTAAATCAGCACCAATGTATTTTACAAACATATCTAGAGTAAGTGTAGATTTTTAAGTGTACCGGTTAAGTTTCATCAACCCATGCTTAGCTGGCCTGTTTTTTAGTATCTGGTACAGAAGGTACTTGTACAAGTTAACTTAATTACATTGTGCTTATTCCAAGTTTGGAAAACGAATGAAACCTGTACTTCAATGGCATACGATATGATGCTGGCCTCACTAACATGACATGGGTGAAATAACAATGGGTAGGATACATGAAAATCTTGTGCATGTATATGAGAAGAGAATTTGGTACTGATATTAATGACCTGACTCTTTGGAGAGCAGAGTACAAACATCCTGTATTACAGAGTCTGAAAGGTTCAGCTACATCATATTTGTACTTTCTGAACATCTGACCAATCGGTCCTTTTACTCTCTGGCCAAAAGGAGCACCCTCCCCCTCCAAATTCAGCAATAGTTGGATAGATTCCACACATATAATTACGGTTTTCCCAGGGAATAGTATCACTTTGTAGCTAAATACTAAAGCAGTGTTTAAACTTTCTTGCAATATCTTATTTCTCATTATTTCCTTTAGGGAAAACATGCGCTTGAAAAAAAAAAAAAGACATTTAAGACAAAGATCACACAAATTTGGGTCTCACCCCAAATAATAAATAACATTAGCGATGTGCAAGGCCTGTTTAATTGAAGGGCGTGAGAAAAAAAAAAAAAGACACGCAGCAAAGCTAACCAGCTGAACCACACAGAGCATAAACGTACAATGAAAGGACAGTTCAATAATCATTAAACCTGACCTATTCTAATATACCTATCATTCTGTATAGCCTTTCCAAAAAAGTAGCTGCGATCAACCAGTAAATAAAGTGCCCCTTCATTAATACAGCCATTTGCAGGATTTGATTTTCAATAATAAGAAACATATTTCGGACAGAACCCTTTCAAAGTAACATGGTACCACCCAGTGGCAAACATGATTATTGCAGACTAACTACTAGCGTATTGTAAAATCCGTGTATCTGATAAGAGGAAACTACAGGCTAGGTAACCTAAATTTAAGGAGAGGCTCTTCCAACATTCAGAACTTGTATGTGTATATCTACTGTAGGACGCCGTCAAAGAAATACAAACTGCACAATAACCACACAGTAATGCTAACTTCATGACATTTTGGAGATCCTTGTGACTGTAAAAATAATTGTGTTTATAAAAACATCTGTAATTACTATCCTTATCCACACATTTTTGGGAGGGAGCAGTTAGATTGAAATTCATTTCTGAAGGAGAGCTTCACAGTACATATGAATAGGTAAATTCTTTTTTGTACTGTCGGGGCATGGAAAGGTTTAGAAGAATTTACCTTTCCCTGGCCCCACGAAGGTTGACAACCATGGCTATAGATAGTACACTGACACCATGAACATTGTGAGAAAGATACAAAGTAAGCAAATGTTTGCAAACATGCAATTGTTACATCAATTTATTGAAAAGCCTGGTTTATTGGAAGGGGTGTAGGGACCTTTGAGCCCACAAACTCAGGAATTCTTTAGATAATTAGAACACTGATCTCCAGAATTCCCCAGACAGCCTAAGGATGCAAGAGAGGACAAATAGGTGCACAGTAGATGTGCACCGAAATGAAAATCGAAACAAAAAGAATGTCAGGCCGAAACCGTAAATGTTTTTTATTTTAACTTTTTTTATTTTATATGTATTTTTTACTTTAGTTTTAGGGGCGTCGCTGAAATATTAGGGGTCTAAACAAATCCCTGATATTTCCCTTTTAAAATAGAAAAACAGATTGAGAACACAGAGTCCTCAAACTTTTTTTTGCAGCCCATGTTATGAGTGTTCCTGTTAATTCATAACATGAGAACAGAGTATGTTTACTATAGCCTCAATTATGAATGAACAGGAAGTGTTGTAGATCACTTCCCATTCATAATTGAGGCTATAGTAACCACACCATGTCCTCAATTATTTACAAACACTCAGCGATCACTGAGTGTTTGTACTTCTCTCCTTCCTGACACACTGTCACAGGAGGCTGAGCGAGCGGAGCTCAGCCTGCTGTGACAGCGCTGGCTGTCTCCTCCCACACTGCTCTCCTCTGATCTGTCACAGGAGGCTGAGCAGTGTGGGAAGAGAGACGCCGGTTGCTCACAGCGCTCTCCCCACGCAGCGCTCGGCCGCCTGTGACAGTTTATCTCCTCCCTGCTGGAACACAGAGCAGCGCCCAGCGGGGAGGAGAGTGAGAATGGATGCACCGCTATATCTGCCAGAAAATGGCACTTTCGGCATTATGCCAAAAGTGCCATTTTCAGCCGATATGTTTCCGCAGCCTATATATCGGTGCATCCCTAGTGCAAAATAAAATCTGGAAGAAGACTTCAAACCAATCACCTCTGACCTTTTTTGAGGAGAACCACATTTTCAATGCCACACTTTTTGTATTACATAATTATAGTTACCTGGTTGCAAGCCTGCTGATTTGGTATTGCTTGAGGAACCACTGGGTTTGTATGCAGCTGGCCCAGATTTGTATGAACTGGGCATATTCTTAGCTGGTTCAGCAGAATAGGTAGCAACTGGGGTAGTTTCCAGTGGATCACTGTACATTAGAGAGGAAAAAAAATATGCATAGGTTAATAATAGATCTCTATTAATCACTGTATATGAAGTAAAGAAAAAACAGTAAACATAAAAAAGGACATGCATTTTAAATAATCCCATTCATGACCTTAAAATTCACTCCCTCAAAATGCACATAAAGCTACTCTTGCTAGATTCTGCAGAAATAGAGAAGCCATAGTGTCACCGACACCAGTGGAAGTAACAGCTAGAAAACACGAAAGGAAGTCATAGGAAATATCTAAGAGGGGATTTCACACTTTGAAGTTGTCACTGGTACAAGTGTGCACATTGAAAGATTTCCTCTTTATTCCTATTCTGGTGACAAAATGTTTGTTTGGATTTTTCTTCATGTTTAGCAGTTGTGGGAGTAATCGCTAGAATAAATTAGCGGGGATAAAATCCCCAGCAGGGGCACAGACAGCAATTCTCACCATTCTATCCAAAATAACAAGGTTTGCTTTTACATACTAATTTATTTAGTACTTTATTACTGCTGAAAATGAAATACACATACACAGAAAACATACACCTAATGCATTACCATAGAAAATGATGTATGCAAAACTCCATTATCAACACTGACATTGCAAATAACATGGCAACACTGCACAAACATGAGATGTATAACAATCTACTTGTATTAAAATATTTACAGTAATGCATGCAAACCTTAGACAGCATAAACCTGTTACAAACCATCACATCAGAGGCCATATAAAAAAGCTTATGAACAAAAAAAAACAAAAAAAACATATAAACTGACAGTAAAAACTGCAAGTTAAGATGATCAGTAGGTTCAGAGATTTCTTCAGCTGAATTCATAGACAAATTTTGACTTTCTGTTAAAGGATAAGTGCACGTCTCCTTTTCACCCTGGTTTTCTGACCAAACCAAGCCCACCCACCCCAGATGCATACTTACCTTGGTCTAATGGCCTCCGGTGTTTACAACCTGCTCCACAATTCTTCAGTGTCCTGTAGGCATCTGTACCGTATATCCCCATAGGCTTTCATTGCATGAAACCCATCGCTCTATTATGTCTTATACATTCTTTTTGTACTAATTATATATCTATATATCTATATATAAATAGATATATATATGTATATATCTATATCTATCTATATATATATCTATCTTTAACCCCACTCAAAGCCGCCCCCCCCTAAAAAAAAAAAAACCCAAAAAACAGGAAATAGCAAGGGAGAGTAGTCTCTTTCTAAACTTCCAAATTGCCTAAAATATTTATTTTCTACCGAAACACAGTGCCAAACCAGAGGCCGTCAAAATCGATGTTCGTTACCATAATAGTATCTCACCTCACAGATTGTTCACTGGTAAGCACACCAGTGGACCTTCTTGCTGGCTTTGAATTTGGAAAAGATGGTTTAATGATAGGTTCTATAAGAAGAGCATCCAAGAGAGAGCGATAGACAAAGGGACCAGACAGTCTAAGCAAGCGAATGGAGGAGTAGAAATAAGGAGGTTGAACATTTTTTTTTTTTTACACAGTACAACAAATACAAGACGACAAGGTTTTTTTCACTCCCATACACTTTACCAGTTAAATATATGTTCGAGGTGTTAAACACATGATATTTCCTAGTGTATGGTGCGCACACTGAAGGAATACAACTTCCAAATAGTGACAAATGCATATTATGGTTTAGTAAAATTACCCTTA